TATTTGGTTTTTGTCTCTTTTTTTTGTTTTATTTTGATCACTTTGGTCTTTGTATATTTTTTCTCTCTGATTTTTTTAATTAAAAATTTTAAGGCAAAAAAATGTTTAGAAAAAAATAATTCATCAAATAAGTTTTTAGCTAAAAATGTGAATAGAGATAAATAAATAATATTTTTTAATAAAAAAATTTATGAAAATATAAAGAATAATTATTCAACTACAACATTTTGATTAAAAAATGATAAAATTAAATAAATTCTTATTCAATATTGATTTAATATATTTTGATAAATACATAATACAATATAAAATATTAAAATAAAATAATTTTATGTATTTTATTCCATCCATAACCTAATGCAATTTAAAAAAAAAAAAACTATTATCTCACAGGACAGGATGGATGTCCACGGCGCGTGTACGGATCCTCCTCAAATTCAAGGCTGTAAGCTTAACAAGTCAAGCGTGTTAGAAAAATCTTGCCTGGCCCATAAGAAACTAATTAATGGCAAATGAGAAATAGTCTTTGCAATTGGAATTTTCCAGCATGGGGATCAACTGTGTCAACCCTTTTTACCAATCGAAGTGTCCAAGACTGGACTCTTCTACGTACAGAGAAGACCGGCTTCTTCGCTTATCATCTTTATAAGCTGGTGCCGGTCGCATCCTCCGTCTTGTTAAAGCTCGAGCAACAGGTATATGGCTTCCTTAATTTAGCTCAGATGTTATTAGGTAAAGAAACATAAATAATACAACGAAATCTCTTTATCTTTATTTAAACAATCAAACACAGGCTATAACCAAATACCCAAACAAAAACAAGTAATTAATAATCTAAAAATTAAAGCACCAATCACATAAGGAATACACAAATTTACGTGAAAAACCATGAGACCGAAATTCATAATAACTTCTATTATCAACAATAATAGGTAATACAAGGAGTCCTTCCTAGATTAAACTAGAGGAATAATCAGCCACAAACATCAAAGGTTACACACCCTTAGCAAACCACATCAATAGATGATACACAAAGAAAAGATAAGAAACCAATGTAATGCCTATAAAATCAATAAATGACCTAAATGGGGTTTTTAAATGAGAGGCATTAGGTTAATTTAAAAGAAAAGAAAAGAAAGAAACAAAAGGGAAGAATTGGTAGAAACCAAAGGAAAGAAGAACGGGAAAGGGAGAAGAGAAAGAAAAAGAAGAAGAGAAGGAAAGGAGAAGGAAGGAAAGAAAGGAGACGAGTTGCCGACGACCACCCACTCCGGCGACGGCTCCAACGACGACAGTGGTGGAGTGACTCGGGTAAAAAGAAGAAAAATAAGGATAAAAAAAGGTGGAATAAGGAAGAAGGAAAAAGATTTATCAAGTTAGTTTTTGAATTTTTTTTTTGAATGTTTTAGTTAATTATAACCTTAATTAGGATGAGTTATAGGTAATTTAGTGAATTTCATTTTGAATTAAGAATTTGAATTATGGATTAGGTTTGATTAAAATTAGGGTTTATGTTAATTTAGAAAATTTGAGAAAAGTGAGTGAATGGGTTAATTAGGGTCCAATTAAGCTTGAATTTTAATTTATTAGTGTCTAATTATTGTTATTATTGATAAATGTAAATTTATGATGATAAAGGTAAGAGAGGATTTGGTGGAAGAAGCTACTTAAGGAAGAGATAATTACAATTTGGGGTGTTCTTCTAGATTAGAGGTAAGTATAGCACATATTATGAATCTTTACTATCATATATGTATATATTGCTTGTGAAGTGAAAAATTGATTGTATGGATAAATACTTCATTAGTACAAATAATTGTATATAAGTTGAATTATTTTAGTATGGGTGCTCTTACCATAAGCTAAACGAATTGAATTGGTATGTTACCATATGAATTATGGTTATTAAAGAGCATATTGGTACATTGAATGGTATGTGTGCATGTTGATATGATGATCACTAGCATTAAATGGAATTGTGATTGATATGTACCGAATGAGAATAATGATATTGATGACTTGAAAGAAGTCTATGCGGGACTAACTAAGCTAACGGGGTTATAGTTAGCTTAGGTGCACCTAGTATTGCTGGTTAGGGAATAGCCGCGAGTGCTTCCCTCGAGTTCACCCTGCGGGGGCCATAGTTTACCCTTTTGAGGGCCGAGTTTACCTGCGGGAGCCATAGTTACCTTTTTGAGGGCCAAAGGAATAGACAGTTCTATATAGAGTGATTTCAAGTAATTGTTATGCTATGATTAATTGTTAAGAAAGAAGGAAAAAAAGGTGTGCATTGACATAATTGTATGTATAACGATTTATAATATGTGTTATGCTTACCGAGTTTTGAAAACTCACCCCCCAACCTCAAAATTTTTTTATAGATAATACAAAAGCTAGATAACGGATACAAAAGCTAGATCATAGAAGGAGGACAATAGATTTTCCGAATTTGAAGGTACTCCCGGATATTATTTTGCTTCCTCCGGGTATAGGATATGGTTGTTTCAAATTTGTACTCATTGTCCATTTTGAAATTTGTAATTAGTCATTATATATTTTATTTCACTTAGTTGCTCCACTGGTAACATCACCAAATTCGGGGATAGCTAGTTAAGAGTCTCCATATTTTGTATTTGAATGGTTAAATGATGATTTATGAATTTTGTTATGTTAAATATTGGATTATATGTTTGTTAGTCAATTTAGTAAATAATGAGATTTATGAGAAAGTGTTGATGTCCAATGGAGGCACTTGATGATGACCGAGAATTGATGAAGATGATTTGGAAGTGTATATATATTGTGATTTTTATGCGGAATATATATTATTTTTGGGAAATTCCAATTATAGGGGAAATACTACCGAAATTTTTGTAGGAAATAGAGAAAGGATTAAGGCTTATGTAGCCTGTGGTAGGTCACCCCACCTCGGGCTACGTTTTGATCGCGACTCGCCGGTTCGAGTTGTGACAACCAAGTTCGGATTTCATCGAGAGAACAACATTATTGAGAGCATTATATCTCACTCTCCAGAACTCCAAACAATATCTCCACCGTTTAGAATGTGCGTCTGTCTCTGTTGAACGTGCCCACCAAAGTTGAGCTCGATCCAACGGTTAACGAATTTAGAAACTCAAAATTTAGTCGTGACTAGTTTGTGCTAAAATTTTCTTCCCTCTTTCTTTCTAAAGTTGCAAGCTCTTTCTCCTTTTTTTTTTTTTTTTTTTCTCCTCTTACTTTCTTCCCTAATCTGATTTAGAATAAAAGAGAAGATAGAATTTATTTGAAAATATCAAAATTATCCTTTAAGTGATTAAAAATTCCTCCTCCACATGGGCTTTAAGATTGGGCTCATATAGGTAAACCTTTGGGCCATCCTCCAACTAGGAGGAAACCTAACCGATTTTGATTTTGATATATAAAAATTACAAGCTATAAATAATTTATACAAATAGTTAAAAATGAAAATATAAATTCACTTACCAATTTTATGCCGGATCAAGTGCGGTTCAAAACCTAAGTGTTCTTTTTCTGAAAATAAAAAAAAAAACACAAAAGAGTATGAGATTTGAAGTGTGTGCTTTGATGAGAATAAACACAAAGAGTAATAAATATTTTGTTTCTTTCGTTCGGTTCAGCATTTCATTCTTCATCTTGTCTCGTTATTGTTTCAATTCTCTCGGTAAAGAATAAGTTTAATAGCAAATTTTGACTCCCTTCTTTTTTGATTTGACAATTTCGGATTTATAATATCAAATTGCGTAAGTTGAATCCCGAAATATTAAAAATTGGGTAATATGATTCAAATTACCCAATTTTCATTATATGTAATGATTACTTAGAATGCTAAAACGTTGTCATTTTAACATTTCGTTGTTAGTTATGTTTTTTTTAAATATTTTTAACCTCCCAAATCTTGAAACTTTTTTTTAAATTTTTTTCTTATAAAATATTATAAACTATATATATATATATATATATATAACATTTTATAATTATTTTTAACCCCCTAATTTTGATTTTTTAAAAACTGTTTTTTTTATAAAATGTTATTTAAAAAAACATAATTAACAATACACAATTTGACCTTAAAAAAATATTTTATGAATTAAAATGAGCATAATTAAGGGTTGACTCTCCTAAATTTATAAATTATAAAAAAAGTTTAGAAAAGGCTCAAAATTAGGAGAGTTAAAATTTTTTACAAAATATTTTTTGTATAATTTATAAAATATTTATATGGAAAAAAAGTTTAAGATTAGGAGGTTAAAAATATTTTTAAAATGTTTTTTTTTTTAAGAAATAACATAATTAACGGTAAAATGTTAAAACGACATCGTTTTAACATTCTATATAATGAAAAACTATGTTGATTGTTACACATAATATAAATTGAGTAATTTGGATCACATTTGTCTAATCTTTAATATTTTAGAGTTCAAATTACGCGATTTGGTACTATAGACTGAAAATTATCAAATTATGATAAAATTTAAGCAAAATTTGTCATTAAACCATAAAGAATAAAAGGAAGAAAAACAAGTACAGAAGGTACAAAGAAGGTGAACTTAAGGTTCTTACTTTAAGTACCACCAGTATGAATAGCTGAATCTCCAATCTGTTACTATATTTTTAATTGCAGTTCTTGAAGAATATTTAAATTTTAATTTTCTTTTTTTTTATCCATGGGCAAAGTTTTTTAGCAAAATGCTCTTAATCGAAACGTAAAAACTAAAAACAAATTGTCTTTGCTTTTGATCAAAATAAATTGCCAAGCCAAAGAAAACTGCAAGTTCATTAACATCTGGCATCACATTTCAGCAAACGCGTATGTTTTTAAGAAGTGTAGCAACTCATGCAATTCTACAAGAGATATTCATTGCGAAAAAAGAAAAGCAGGTTTGGAGCTTTTTCTTCACATTCTCAAGGTAGGGACAGAATGGGTATCACAGAAGAAGTAAATAGATAAAAAGCATACACTAGACATCCATACTTGGCATTCATTTGATGGAAATTGATTTGTACTGTTTCATTGTGCTTGTAATGGCTTGTTCAACAGGCAGTCTCTCCATGCTTGATGCACCATAGAATCCATGAACTCCCTTGGTTTTCTTCAATATAAATTCTGCTTCTCTGGGTCCGGATATGGGGCCTGCAAAAAGCCATTAAGAGATCTGTTATTAACTATAAGTTTATAAGTCAATGTTTGATCATGTCAAACTGAAAAAAATGGTAGATGTTAAACCTTTCTTTTAGAAAAAAGGGTACCAAATAAAATCTCGAAGGAGATTTTGAATGCTGAAGTTGATCACAAGAAAAAATTCAAAGCAAAAAATTCTTAACAGGCCTGAGCAAGAAAAGAAAGCCTGTTTGATAACGTTATCATGACTTTGCATACAATCAGTAACTGAAATAACGATTTCAATGTTGAATAATCACAACCATGAAAGAAAAAACAAAGGTTACCTTGTAAGAGAATCTAAAAGCTAAAAGACGAGGTTTATCTCATTTGATGTTTGAACTACTCATACGTGCAACCAATTACAAATAATTGAAACAAAGCTTAGACAATACATGGCATTAACAAACTTATGTAACCAAAAAAAAAAAGCCCTCCATGACACCCTTATGAGCAAAATGAAACATTCAGCAAACTCTAAAAATAACACACAACTTAAAATTTGAAACCACCAACATAGATTCATTACAAGAAACGAACAATTGTCTAAACGTACCTCCATGACACAGGACAATGATATTGGGGTTGATGTTATGTGCAGCGTCTGCAATAGCTTGCACACAAAATACACTTTCGTCTAATGAGACAGCTGTTTTTGCACCAATAGACCCAGATGTAGTAAGCCCCATATGGGCAACAATGATATCGGCACCAACTTTTGCCATTTCCCTGGCTTCACTTTCATTAAAAGCATATGGGGTTGTCAAGAGACCCATCTTATGTGCCTTTTCAATCATCTGAACCTCCAATCTGACCATTAGTAGAAGGAAAAAAATATAGCCATTAGATCCAAGAGAAGAATCTGATAAAAACATAGCATGACGCTTTTTTTCGATGACATAGTTTGAGCCATACCCATATCCCATTCCGGTCTCTTCAAGATTTTGTCTAAAATTACCATCAAAAAGCCCAACAGTTGGAAAATTTTGCACCCCACAGAACCCAATTGATTCCACCTGCTTTAAGAAGTAATCCATTCGGCGAAAAGGATCAGTTCCACACACTCCAGCAAGAACTGGTACCTCCTTGACAACCTATAAATTCTTTTAGTTAGCTTTAAAGTTGGCAATATTCCAATAACTTCGATGAAAAATAAAATCATAAAGACATTGCATTACCAATTTAGATGACTACAGAGATGGATGACTAATCACAAACAAAATAGAGTGGGTAGCACAGAGGTCAAATTTATTACACGTTCTGCAGTCCACCTTAATCTGTAAAAACAGCTATAGTAGTAACTTCAACGTAAGGACGTTCTGTACCTAAAGCTGGACATTATCTACATAGACCTAATCTTTTGTATGTTTCTGCTTATTCTGACCACATTTCTAAAAAGAAATCTAGGTTGGATGATATACGAAACATGAAATAACAGAGAGATTGTTTGTCACCCTCTCTTATTTATACCCTTCACATATCAAATTTTGGTATCCTAAGTGCCATCTCCTACCAAGTTTCAAAATGAGATTAGTGGCCATTTTACAAGCTTAAACAGCATCAGTCAACCAAAGGCAACACCTCTAATAATTCAAGCAGATGAAACGAAATTTGGTTTCACCTCTCTCTAAGAAACATTTGGAAACTTACCGGCAAGACTTCATTGGCCATGTCAACTACTATAGCATTTGCATCAGCAAAAGGCAGTAAACCAGCTAAAGAACCCCTTCCTGCCATGCGAAAGCGCCCTGAGTTGTACAACACTATTAAATCAACACCACCAGCTTCTTCAAACTTTGCTGATATGCCAGTCCCTGCACCAGCTCCAATTATGGGCAATCCTTTATCTATTTGATCTTTGAGATGCTGCAATATTGCCCAAGTTTTTTGCAAAGTCTCTGTCATAGTATTAGTAGGTAACCGATTAGATTATTATACAAATTTTCCATTATTCATAATCTATATGCATATGTTAGATTCTGTAAGTATGTTTATGGAAGCTTCTTTGAGTTAAAAAATGAACATAACAGCTGCAAACTTGCAATTAATACTTTCCAGACAATTCAACAATGCATAGTTGATTCCAGGTGTACTTTCTCAATAATGGCTGATAAAATTTAACATTTTGGCATATTATTATAATGGAGAAATGCTTTTGACTATAACCTGGTCTTGCATCTGGATAGTTGCTTGGGCTGTAATAAATAGTCTCATGGCTTGATGAATTCAGATTGGAAACATCCTGAACGTCTAGACTGGGTTCAGAAACAGGATTTTTGAGATGAGTGGAATCCTTAGGTTTACCCAAACTAATCTCTAAAAATGTGTCAACCAATGCATCTGCAAACTCAGGGTCATTGATATGGCAAGGATACACCTTTACCTGTTATAACAAACTTAAATTTATCAGGTAAATCATAACGGACAGCCAATGAGATGATAATGGACAAGAAACTGAAGCGTTGATACAAGGTTGGAAACAACATGCACCATTAATAAGCAACAACTATACCTGCCGATCTTCTGTTGTTTGTATAAGCTTCTGTAGTTCATTTAGTAGAGTATCAGTAGCCTCAGGATCATGAAATGGCTTGTCAGGGGAATCCAAAGCTGAGATTCCCTTTTGTGGCAGGCATACATGGACCTTTGATGATGATTTGTTGAGCTTATCTGCTATAAAACTAGCAAATTTCTTATTCTCGTCCACTGTGGTTCGCATGAGTGAGACCTGAAATTGACAATACGTATGGAAAAGACATCAGAACACCACTACTGAGCGAAAGGTCACAGATTAGATTACACTCATTTGTCATTCATATTCTGAAATTAGATTGGATAGGCTTCCTGAACATGCCCTTTATTTGGTAGGAAACATTGATGAAACTACCGCAAAGGCTACAAACTTAGAAATGGAGAATAACTTGAAGAAACAATCCTTAAGTCTTTGCTTATAGACCCCAAATCAAATTGTTTAGGATTCAGAAGTGAAAAAAAAAATATGTACTAATAGTGGCCATAGTGGGTGTATTACCAAATCATGTGCCTATTTCCATAGCCGTTGATATCAGTATTTTGAGAGTACACCTTAATGCCCAATGGTAAACGATGGCTCTGATGGGCAGTTTTGCTGGAATAGGCAATAATGAGGTTACTGTTTTAGTAAAGGTGAGAAGGAGAGTGAAATTGATCCACACGAAGCTCAGCAAACTCTAGAAATAGCAGGAGCTAACTTGAGGAAAGCAGAAGGCAGGAGACAAATAATTGAGTCAAAAGTAGTAGAAGCAAAATGGTGCAAAAGAAAACATTGGCGGTTTGAAATTATTAGAAAAGACGTCACTTTCTGGACATTTCCTAGGAAAATAAGACTCTTGACAGGGCAAACTGAAGGAAAAGAATTCATGTGACTAATGCCGACTAGTTTGGGATTAACACTGAATTGAATTGAGTGAAGCAATTAAAACAATCAAGCAAAACTTTGGCGATATCTTCTCTAGCATCTTGTGGTTGTGATATTAGATACTCAATACCAAAATATATGCAAAAATGATGTGTGAAAAGAGAAAACGAGGTTAATGGTGACTTATTACCTGTTCATTGTGGACGTGAATCTTTCTTTGCTGAAAATCAGAAGGTATGGTATTCTTAGCACCAAAGTTCACCATGTCCAAGGCTCCTAAACTCAACACTAAAGGAATCTTCTTCTCTATGATCGCATCAAAGCGGGAACTGTCACAAGCCATAACACCTCCAACTATATAATCTGCAACCTCTGTGGTAGTAATGTCTAAAACACCCTAAATAAAACCAAAAGGTAAAAAATGATGGCAACAGATACAACATCATGCAAAGACAAAACCATAATCATGTGACAGAAGTACAAGAACAGGTCTACACCAAATGAATTGTGAATAGATATACCTGTATAAATCCCTCTCTAACAAGTGATTCCATGGCCTTGCCCCCAGTCCCGGTGGCATGGAATACCAGGGTCTCATAACCTTCTTTCACCAATCTTTCCTTCACAGCATTCACACACGGAGTTGTAACTCCAAACATGGTTAAACCAACAGTTAACTTATTATCACTATAAAAACCATTAGATCTCCCAAGCCTTCCAATCACCATTCCACCAAAAGCCGCACCAGCATTCGATAACACAGCCCTACTAACACTATTAATCCCACAGACATCGACTACAGAAGGAAAGAGTATCAAATCCGATGATCCAATGTAAGGTTCAGTTTGACCACTAGCAACAGTAGATACGATGACTTTCGGCAATCCAATAGGAAGTGACCTGAAAGCAGATGATATTAAAGATGTGCCCCCGCTGCCCCCAAGGCCAACAGCTCCAGCAAGAGCACCGTCATCTTGAGCTTTTTGTAAGAAATTTTTAAGAGCTCTACTCATTACGGAAACAGATTGGCCTCTATCATCTGGAAGCATATATTGTGTTTGTTCAGCTGGACCAAGATAGCCAGCAAGAAGATCCTTTCTGGACACAAATTCAAAATCTCCAACACTTTCAATCTCTTTACTACCAACCGAAACATCAACAACCACCACCTGTACCTGCAATCGCCAATAACAAACTCAGAAATCGAACCCTTCATTCATTAACTATGATACACCAAGTCTCGCCGAAAAGAAATCCTAAAAAGAACTCAGCCAATGTAAACCAAGCCAACATAATATTCGGCCCGCGCCTTGGCTTGCGCGCATTAACCTTGCACAAGGGGCATGATAATAATGTCTATATAACTTCAATTCTAATCATAAAAATGGAGTCTACATGACATCAGCAAGGTGAGACCATATTCCAAGCAATTCCCAAGTTTTGTTAAGCTAGTGCATTTCTCATTTCATTATAATCAACAAGAAATAAAACCCAGAAATCAAAACCCTAGATTTCTCATTATCATTCACTAGAACTAATTATTGATGCATTTCTATTGATCATTGAAGTGAGTTAAATAGTGAAGACCTTAGAAGACGAGTTGGTGGAGAAGGAGGTAAGATAGGATCTGACTGAATCAGAAAGGAATAGGAGCTCGTCGTGCTTGGTATCAGCCGTGCCAATACAGAAAACTTGAGGATTTTTGCAGAGATGGGCCATTTTTTGGAGGGTCAAAGACTCAGAAATGTTGGAGTAAGAGAGAGAGAGAGAGAGCGAGACAGAGCGGAAGGAGATATTAATTCTGTGAAAGAGTGATGTAATCGTATAACGGCTTTCAAATTGCGTGGGAAAGCAACGACAACTAACGATTGGGTGCCACCTAACCATAGATGTGGCTCAATTTGGCTGCACTTCTCGATGTTATTATTATTATTTTTTTATTTTGTGAAAATTTTCATTATTTTATTTATGAATTTAAGCTTATACTATATTTATGGCTTATGATTTATAGATGTAGATATATTATGTCTTGAAGGATTATATTTTATTTTTATATGTTGAGGTGTGAAATTTGTAGGGTGGAAGGTGAGGATATGTTATAAGCAAATGATGCCTTTCAATTAGAAAAATGAATAGGAAAGGAGTGCAAGGAAGAAAATCCAGGTAATTCTTGACAAAAAAAAAAAAAAAAACTTAGGCAAGGAATGCATTAGATGCACAAAAATCAGAATGTGTTTTCGTAAACGAGAGAACTCTCGAGTCTAATTTTAATCTCTAATTTTAATACAAGATTGATAGATGAGTCAAAAAAATCTTGAATAAGGTGATTGAGGAGATATTTATACAAATAGATAAATAATCATAATCAATAAAGTTATTGATGTCTAAACATTACTTGTTTGTCAAATGAAATGTCACAACTAATAAAATTATGATATTTTGTACAAGTTTTAGTGTTTGTTGTTTAAATCAAGTATCATGTGAAAGATATTATTTATACTTTATTTTTCATAAAAAGATTAAAAAGTTAATAGTTGTAACTCTTAATGAACCTTGTATTGATTATTTTAGATCACACTTTCTCATCACTTCTCATAATACCTTATTGATAAGATTTTGCTTGTATCCAAGCTCACAACTAAGTTGGATAAGAAGGAGACTTTAAGTACTCTTGAGAAGGAAATTTTTGTTATTATTACCTCTTTATGCATAGAGCGAGGCCGGTAAATTTTTAGAAAATTATCATTACCGATGTAGAACATTTCTCAAAAAATATCCAATCCCTTCAATTTTGATGAAGGGATTGGATATTGGATTGAGTGGAGAGTGTATGAGTGATTATGTGAAAGTTATGGGAAAGCACAATGTTGCTTTCATGAAAATTTTGAAATATTTTAGTTATGAAGCTTGTATCCCCATTTTAATTTGTTGAAATTTCTTAAGTAATTATATTATGCTAGGAAAATTGGCTACAATACTTTGTTGTTGTGAAACTTCTTGAGTAGGGACTTGAGCTCCTTGGGTGGAAGCTTTGAGAAGTGTTTGAGTAATAATAGATAACATGATAGGCTATTCACTCATTTCTTCCTCATTTATTTTTTGCAAAATCATTCCAAACAATCACACTTTTGCAATGGAGTACACAAAATGTTTGAGGTGTGAAATTTATAGGATGGAAGGTGAGGATATGTTGCAAGCTAATGATGCCTTTCGGTTAGGATAAGAAATAAGAAATGAGCTTAAGAAAGGAAATGCGAGGCAATTTTTAATAGAGAGCATTAGATAGGTAGTGCACTAAGTGCACCAAAAGATTTTGGTATGGAATGGATTTTTGCGAGAGATGGAGTTTCAACTCCAATTTTAATATGAGATTGGCAAATGAACAAAAAAAAAAAAAATCCTTAAATAAGGTGATTAAAGAGTATTTACGAGAGATACGTAATGTGTCACAATTAATGAAATTATGACATTTGATGTCCGAATATTGATTGTAAAATAAGATGTCATAACCGGTAAGATTGTGATATTTATACTGATTTTGCGTTTGTAGTCTAGGTCAAATATTATATGAAAAATATTGTTTACATTCTTTTTGTCAAAAAAAATTACGAGATTAATAGTTGTAATCCTTAACGAAATTTGTATTGATTCTTTTAAGCTAAACTTTTCCATAACTTCTCCCAATACACATTAGTGAGCAAAAGACCCTATTTATATTCAAATCTCACCAATAAGCCTCTACAATTAAAATGTTGATTCTTGATGACTCTTTCGAGTCACAAGTCTCATGTGACTCATAACATGAGAGAAAAATTAAGAGAAGAGTAATAATATTTATTCAAATAAGACTTGGAGTGCACCAACATACTTTTAGAATAGGTGCACGCCTGGTGATTCTGCTGCTGCTTCTTCTTCTTCTTCTACTTCTTCTTCTTCTTCTTCTTCTTCTTCTTCTTTTTTTTTTTTTTTTTTTTTGTATTGTAGAAAACTTCTACAATTTTTTTTGATGATTTTCTTAGATATTTTTTTTATGAAATCATTGTACATGAACAAATATTCAATCATGAAAAAAAATGTATGTATATAAAATGAGAACAATTTTTGCTTAGAAATAAACTAGATTTTCGCGTAGCGAGGTTTAACAAAATATATAAAATTATTCTTAAAAAATTATTTTATTTTGATAGCCCGTATTATATTATGCATTTACGAAAATACATCAAATAAAAAATAAATAAAAATTCATTCAATTTTATAATTTTTTAATCAAAATTTTATATTTAACTTATTATTCTTTATATTTTTCATAATTTTTTTATCCGTGAGGAGGTCATACCTCATCAATTTTTTTATTTTTTATTTATTTTTTTATTTTTTGAGGAGGTGAGGGCTCTCTCCCTAAGAGAGTAGGTGCGCACCAACTTTTCTTCTCATAGGAGTTGGATTTTTTTTTTTTCCTTCATTCTTCTTGCTATATTATTTTCTTTTGATGCATGTAATTATTATTTTTTTAAACTGCCTTACAATTTAGTTGTCCTTAAGCTTTAGGAAAATTTCTTGTTCTCCCATTACAAAAATTTTATCCTTTTCTTATTATATTTTTTTATCCTTTAAAATATCTCAAGCTTAAATATTCAAACTAATTTTTTAAGACGAAATTAACTATACAGAGAGTTTTTTATATATATAAAAATTTAAATTCAAAATCACTTATTTAAGTAATTAGAACTTTTTTCACTTAACCAACCCTCTTGGATTGCCACATCTTTCTTAGATAGTGAATGTGATGAATTTGAAGGTTATAGGTTGGGAAAGCATGGGCTACCCAACCCATCTTCAATCCTTCCATCGGGCATTGAATGATGAAAGATTCATGCATGTGGATCAAAACTTTGATGCAAGGAGTCTCATTTAATATTGCTGGCTACAAACTTTTTTTTTTAATAGAATTGGCTTAGTGAGATCGACAAGATTGATGTAATAATTTCATGATGCGTATGTCCAGAATCGAGATCCCGGCAAATCTGCTTCGTACAGGGAAAATAAGGATATCCATATGATTCCACATCAAATATCATATCATATAAAAAAAAAAAAAAAAATTGTAGACAAATCACATGATGGAGCATGATGGGTTGGGCTCATCATACCGGTACACTTGCATTGGCGTTTGCATGGGCATGAGAAGCATTTGCTGACACTGAGGACAATTGTGTGGATCATGGATTAGGGCCTTCTGTTCAGTCTTCTTCTGTTCAGTCTTCTTCTCTTCAGGCTTTTTGTTTTCGGGTTTTTTCTCTTCTGCCTTCTTTTGCCCATCCTGTTTCGGTGGTGCAGGAGGTGGCCCAATACTCACTACCTCTGCATGTTTACCTGCTTTTCTTGTACGAACTATGATCTTATATGGGTCTGCATCTCCTGTTACTGTTAAAGTTCCCTTAGCTTGATCAACCTCAATCTTATCTACGCCTGCATGTAACATCAAATTTGAAGATGACGACAGTTTTTCTATTATTTTGAAAACCATAATTAGTAAATGAATGAATATGATCACCCCCAAAAAATGGAAAACACAAAACAACAAATGGATAACAGATGCTTACCTTCAAGTGTGGACACAGCTTTGAGAAGCTTTTTCTTGCATTTTTCGCATGAAATATCAACCTTCAAGACTGTTCTTTGTACCATGAGTGACCTACGATTTCTTTCTCAACCTTAACCTCAAACTAGCTTTGTGCATCGATCTTATAGGATCGCTAGTGTCCAATTTAAAATTAGTAGGAACCTAACAATAAATTAAGAGAACCGTTGTAACGAATCATTGGGTTGTTCACCCTCCTAGACAAGTTAAACTTCTAGAACTCGTGCCTTCTTGCAATTGTCTTTTATTCCTAGGATACACTAGCGACAACGTTAATTTAAATGGGAGTACGCAAGCTGCTAAACATTGGAGATTCAACCCTTTCTATCTTGACTTATGCATTTCTCGTTTTTTTATTTATTTATTTGGATGGATCTATTTGTAGGTTTGATCGATTAATTCTGTAGCTAGCGGTTGACACCAAGCTTATGCATCTTAATTTACACATGTTGCAATCACAATTAACAAGCTAACAACCAAATACTGTTCAAGTCGGACTGCCTGCACCCATCCTAGGCAACGAAACAATTAACTATGATCGATGAGATGATGATTGGAACAATAAAATTAAGATTCAGAAAAATTTAGGATAAAATGATCAATTTATCCTTTTATAATAGCACAAATCTTCAATTTATATCTACCTTTTTAATTGCATGCATCGATTTATTATAATTCAAAGTAATATTTAATTAAGTTTTTAATTTATTATTCCGATCAATTTTTTTGATTATAAATAAATTTTTAGACCAAAACCCTAACTGAAAAATAAAATCCGAATACTTAAAAATGAGTCATGCAAGTCATCTCTCTCTCTCTCTTCATTTCAATCGATCAAGAGTATTTTGATCAAAATATTTATTCATTGTTAGAAGAATTGATCGAACGATGAATTGAAATCTTAAACATTATTTAAGAACATAATAGATGTAATTAAAAATTATAAAAATAAATTAAAAACTCAAACTATTATATAAAAACAAATTGAGTTATTTATTCAAGAAATTAATTTGAGACCGAAGTAAATTTGATTACTGAAAGTTAATTGTATTTAATTAAAATGCCACTGAAAATAAGCAATTGATCCTTGGGTTTGAGTCCTAGTCTTTATTTGGATGGATCTATTTGTAGGTTTGATCGATTAATTCAGTAGTCGGCGGTTGACACCAAGCTTATGCATCTTAATTTACACATGTTGCAATCACAATTAACAAGCTAACAACCAAATATCGTTCAAGTCGGATCGCTTGCACCCATCCTAGGCAACGAAACAATTAACTATGATCGATGAGATGATGATTGGAACAATAAAATTAAGATTCAGAAAAATTTAGGATAAAATGATCAATTTATCCTTTTATAATAGCACAAATCTTCAATTTATATCTACCTTTTTAATTGCATGCATCGATTTATTAAATTCAAAGTAATATTTAATTAAGTTTTTAATTTATTATTCCAATCAATTTTTTTGATTATAAATAAATTTTTAGATCAAAACCCTAACTGAAAAATAAAATCCGAATACTTAAAAATGAGTCATGCAAGTCATCTCTCTCTCTTTCTCTCTCTTCATTTCAATCGATCAAGAGTATTTTGATCAAAATATTTATTCATTGTCGGAAGAATTAATCGAACGATGGATTGAAATCTTAAACATTATTTAAGAACATAATAGATGTAATTAAAAATTATAAAAATAAATTAAAAACTCAAACTATTATATAAAAACAAATTGAGTTATTTATTCAAGAAATTAATTTGAGACCGAAGTAAATTTGATTACTGAAAGTTAATTGTATTTAATTAAAATGCCACTGAAAATAAGCAATTGATCCTTGGGCTTGAGTCCTAGTCTTTATTTGGATGGATCTATTTGTAGGTTTGATTGATTAATTCTGCAGTGGCGGTTGACACCAAGCTTATGCATCTTAATTTACATATGTTGCAATCACAATTAACAAGCTAACAACCAAATACTTGTTCAAGTTGCACTTGCTCGCACGCATCCATCCTAGGCAATGAAACAATTAACTATGATCGACGAGATGATGATTGGAACAATAAAATTAAGATTCGGAAAAATTTAGGATAAAATAATCAATTTATCTTTTTATAATAGCACGAATCTTCAATTTATCTCTACCTTTCTAATTATATGCATCGATTTATTATAAGTCGGAGTAATGTTTAATTAAGTTTTCAATCTATTATTCTTATCAATTTTTCCTATTATAAACAAAATTTTAGACCAAAACCCTAAAAAAAAAAAATCTGAATACTTCAAAAATGAATCATGCAAGTCCTCTCTCTCTCTTCATTTCAATCAATCAAGAGTATTTTGGCCAAAATATTTATTTATTGTTGAAAAAATTGATCGAAACGACGATTGAAACCTTAAGCATTATTTAAGAAAATAATAGATACAATTAAAAATATAAAAACACATTCAAGAATCAAACTATTATATAAAAACAAATTGAGTTATTTACTTGAAAAATTAATTTGAGACAAAAACAAATTTGATTATTGAAAGTTGTACTTAATTAACATGCCATTAAAATTAAATAAGCAATTGATCCTTGGGCCTGCGACTTTATTTTACTAGTTGACCAAGTTTGTATAATTTCCCAACTTAATTTAGACATGCTGCAGTCGCAATTAACAAGTTAGCTAACAACCAAACGTTGTGCAAGTTGCATTACCTGCACCCATCTTAGGCAATGAAACAATTAGTTAAGATTACATAATGATTGGAACAATAAAATTGATCCTTGGGACCGAGTCTTTGTATTACTAGTTGACTAAGTTTGTATAATTTTTGTTTTAGAGCAGTTCCTCTATGCATTTTGGGACAAAATTTTAAGTGAGTTTTACCTATATCGAAACCTCATATAATTCGAATTTTTTTATTAAGATTTTAAGTTTTTTTTTCAATTTAAAAATTTTACTTTTATATTAGTATTTCAGATTCTAATATGCTACATAATCACATGTGGCAAGTTATTATTGGCTAGAGCTTGCCATGTGTGATTATGTGACATAAGCTCTAACCAATAATAGCTTGTCACTTATCATAATGAATTTAAATTAGATGATTGAATTGATAACATGATAAGTTATTATTCGTTACTTGCTTGCCACGTATATTTACATGACAAATTGATATTGATTAGAATATGAAATAATAATAATATAAGAGTAGAACTCTTAAATTAGATTAAAAAATAATTAAAGTTTCAATTAAAAAAATTTAAATTATACAAAGTCACCAGTTTTTAATTAAGAGGGAAGGCAAAATTAAACAAATTTTCAATTAATAGGGAAGGCTAAATCAAACCAATTACAATAACGGAGGTATATACGTATAGGCTTTAAAGCCTATTTGAGCAAATTGAGGAATATGACCTTTTGCCAACTCATTAAAGTTGACGTAGCTAATCAATTGGCTTTGAAGTTGACTTAGCTCAGATTTAATTCTACTGTACATACGGATATTTTTTTTATTATTTTTATTTATTATATGACTTAGCTCTGTTCGCTAATCAATTGGCTTTAAATATTTTATTTATTTATTATCTGACTTTTTACATAGTGTATCACCTATATCAGCGAATATTTTATTTAATTGTATGATTTTTAAATGATTTCTTTTATTTAATTGTCTAAGAAAATTAAATTAATATATCGATAAAGTGTCTTAAAAAAATAAATTCAAGACAATTTATTTGGTGTATGGATCGATCCCATATGAATATAAAAAGCCATCCCATATAATTAGCATGCGCAATGAACACACCAGGATACAAAGATAAAAATGATTAATTGGAACAAAAATAAGGATCTATTTAACGGTTTTGCCTTAAAAAAAAAAAAAAAAAAAATCCTAGTCTACTTAACACCCCGTCAATTTAAGTCTTCTTTTGGAGTTTTAGAATTTTTTTTTTTTTAAAATCATCAATCTGGATTGAAATTGTTTTGCAAGATTTTATTATTAATATAACGCACAATTTTTTTTTCCTTTTGCGTGTAAAATATATTAGTAGAAGAGCTTTTGGAAATTACAGTAAAAAATTACAATCTATAATACAAAAAACAATGTTATAAAAAAATTATATTCAAGATTTTATATAATTTGAATATTAATAAGCTTTTTACATGTGCTTCCATGACACATTAAAATCTAAAACAACAAAATAAAACCCTCAAATAAAATTAAAAAAACAAATCTTAATAAAAAAATTCCAATTATAGATTTAAAACCCTATCATAAATTAAAAACTTCCAAATTAGGAATTTTATGTGCAAAACCCTATTATAAAATCAAAACTTCAGAACTAGGAATTGTAGGGCTTTACCCCGAGGGGAGCCCTTCCAGAAATTCTCAATGGCCTGGGCCAAACCCAGGCCAACGAGGGGGTTTGGAAATAGTTTTCAACCAGCAATTGACGCGCCTCAGTTAGAACCTCACTAGCTGCGTCATTGCCCCAAGCGCAAAGATAAGAAGACGTCTGGCATCGACACCTGTTTTATAGTCAACGCTCCCCGTTTAGAATGCTCTCCGTTCGATGTGGGACTCTTAGCAAGAGTATATCTCAATGACTTGGTCATTTTAGCTTTCGTTGTTCAATTTCCTAGATGTTTCAGATTCCATGGACTTTGCATTCCTGAAAATGTAAAATCCCCTCATAATTCTTGCAGCTTCCGTCAAGCAGGTCATTTACAATCATCTCAGTGGTCTTGGTACAGTTGCTGGCTGTATAGACTTATCCAAGCTAATCGTTAATCCTATCCGTCCTTTGCCTCCCTTAGACAAACAATATATAGCCTACCCAGGATTTTGGTTTAATTGATTGCAGATTGTTCATCAACAAATACAGGTTCTATTGGATGAATTTGCCTTGCTCAATTCTAAGTGAAGATTAATGCTGCCTTCTTGATTTTAAAACTTGTCACAACAAGAAATTTGAAAAGGCAAAGATGACAAAAAAGTTACTATCGATTTGCTGGAATGGGATACCCCTTGTTTTTTATGGTGGAATTAGAC